ACCTCAATGTCAAATTCTTGCAATAGTAATACCCAACGAATACACATCGATTTCGCATCCTTCTTTGCCATCAAATATCTCAAAGCAGAATGATCAGTATGCACTATAAGACTAGTGTCAAGCAAATAGGAGTGAAATTTCTCAAAAGCAAAGAACACTGCAAGGAGCTCTTGCTCAGTCACGTGTAGTTCTTTTGGGCTTCATTTAGGGCTTTACTGGCATAGTAAATGGGGTGAAGGATTTTGTCCTTTCTTTGCCCCAATACAACACCAAGATCAAGCCCACTAGCATCACACATTACCACAAATGGCTTGCTCCAATACGACAAAATAATGATAGGTGCAAACACTAACTTTTCTTTCAACTTACCAAAAGCCTTAAGACAGGATTCATCAAAATAAAATTTACACTCTTTCTCAAGCAACTTGCACAAAAGATGCACAATTTTTGAAAAATCCTTGATGAACCTCCGGTAAAAACCTGCATCCCCAAGAAAGCTTCTCACACCTTTGAGAGAGATAGATGGGGCAAGTCTCTCTATTACCTCGACTTTAGCTCGATCAACCTCTATATCCTTCTCTGAAATGCGATGACCCAATACAATACCTTTTTTCACCATGAAGTGACATTTTTTCCAATTTAGTACTAGATTGTAGTCTTCACACCTCTTAAGAACCTAAGACAAATGACTCAAACACCGCTCAAAGGAGTCATCAACCACAGAAAAATCATCCATAAACACCTCAATAGTGTCCTCCACTATATCGAAGAATATTGACATCATACATCTCTTAAATGTGGCGGGTGCATTGCACAACCCAAACGACATTCTCTTAAGCGCACAGGTCCCATATGGACAAGTAAAGGTGGTTTTCTCTTGATTTTCCGGTGCAATAGAAATCTGGTTATACCCCGAATAACCATCATGAAAACAGTACCACCTCTTTTCGGCAAGTCTATCCAACATGTGATCCATGAAGGGCATAAGAAAATGGTCTTTTTCGGTCCATGCATTTAATTTTTGGTAATCCATACACACCCTCCAACCAGTCACCAGTCTCACTGGAACAAGCTCATTTTTCTCATTGGGGACCACAGTGATTCCCCATTTCTTAAGTACACACTGAACAGGGCATACCCAGGTGATTGGATATATCACTCCAGCATCCAACCACTTAATAATTTCCTTCTTCACTACCTCTTGCATAGGTGGATTTAGACGTCTCTGATGCTCAATACATGGATTATGATCGAGCATGAGTTGGATTTTATGAGAAAAAAATGCCATGAAGGATCCCAATAATATCCTCTATAGTCCACCAAATAGCTCTTTGTACCTTTTTAACACTTTTACCAAACTCTCAACTTGATGCACATTCAAATCTGATGCAATAATAATCGACAAAGTGTCATCTTTTCAGAATACATACCTTAGATAAGGTGGTAGAGGCTTAAGTTCTAATTTTAGAGCCTCCTAATTAGACGATTTCGTGGGTGAAAAATCGTGATGTTGCCTATCTAACTCAAATTTCTTTGGTTCAAAACGAACATTACCTCGATCAAGTGCCGCGATCAATGACCCATACTCTTCAATGCCATCACTATCAAAATTCATGATCACTGCCGCCAATGCTTATACACCCAGATGCTCTTCAATTTGTACTCAGATGACTCTTCAACTCGGTAGGATATAGCAGATACCAACTGGAGCTCACCGCTCTACCTCAAGGACCTACAAATATTGAAGGTCACTTCTTCGTTGCTCAACCAAATATCAATCAAGGATCTACCTGTAGCAAGGAATGGACTCCCAAGAATTATAGGCACCTCAAAATCGGCCTCACAATCAAGAATCAGAAAATTGACTGGAAATATGAGCGACTCCACTTTTACTAGCACATCGTGGAGTATACCAATGGGCCTTTTTACCGTTTGATCGGCCATCAGTAACTGCATCGCAGTGGGCTTTGGGTCACCCAAACCCAACTTCTGGTAAATCGAGAGAGGCATGAGATTTATACTTGCCCAAGATCACATATGCTTTCGCAAAATGTAATAGCCCAATTGTACAAAGAATAGTGAAAGCACCCAAATCTTCTTTCTTTTGCACTAGAGATTTTGTAGCAATGGCACTACAGTGCTGCATTCTATCATCATCCTCAAAAGTGACTGATCTTTTTTTTGTAACCAAATCTTTCATGAACTTGGCATAACAAGTCATTTGTTCAAGAGCTTCTACCAAAGGGACATTGATAGAAAGTTGCTTCAATATTGTTATAAAACGTCGGTATTTACCATCCTCAGTCTTTTTTACTAACCTTTGTGAGAAAGGAGGTGGTGTTCTAGGCATGGGGGTCACCTTTTGGGGAACCTCAACATCTTTTACCATTTTATCTTCTAACTCACCACTAAACTCAACCACTGTATCATCATATCTTATCACCTTTTTTACACCAGACGACTTAGGTGGATCAATGGTTTGCTTACCACCCCGAGTAGTGATTGACATACAATGCCCATCATTTTTTGGATTTTAGACAGTGTTGCTAGGAAGAGTGCCCGTTTGCCGTGTGTTCACAATTGCAGACAATTGGGCCATTTGCAACTCAAGATGCTTAATCGAGATTGCATGTGTATCAACTCTCTGCCCTATACCTTCTAAGTCATTCCTTAACTCTTTTGTGTGCTCATCAGTAGCATCAAACCTCCTTATCATTTTCTACAATATATCCTCAAATGGTGTCATACTACATCTACCATTCCTAGGAGAAACTTCACGATTTTGAGGTGGAACATAGTGTCCACTCCTATCATTTCAGTTACCATAGTTACCCCGATTGAAGTTGTTGTCGCGGTTGTAATTCGCATCTCGAACATAATGACCCTCGCGGTTATAATTACCATAGTTCCGACCTTGGTTTCCTTGACCTTGGCGCCAATTCTCCTAATTGGAGCCTTGGTCGTTCGGTCGGAAACCCCCCCTCTGATCATTCACTGCATAGGAGTCCTCCTCATAATAATATTCATCATTTGGCGGTGGTGCAAGTAGTTCACCGGTTTACCTTTTCCATACCCCAACAACATGTTTGAACACCAACCCAAGTTCAGTTCTCACTTGAGTCATCTCCTCACGAAGATCATTTGCGACTGAATCGTGTGCGGATTGAACTGCGAAGGTGTTTCTCCCAGAATCTGACTTCCTAGTACTCCAAGCTTTATTATTTCGGGAGATTTTCTCTAACTTTTTTGCAATATTGGCATAAGGACACTCCCCATAAGAACCACCCGCTATTGTATCCAACACCGCTTTGTTACTATCATCTTGTCCCCGATAGAAATACTCTTTCAAAGACTCATCATCTATGCGGTGATTTGGGACACTTTGCAAGAATGAAGTGAACTTATCCCAAGAACTGCTAAGTGATTCTCCCGGTAGTGCCACAAAGTTTTTCACTTTGCCTTTGTGGTTTAGTTTCTTAGTCACCGGGTAGTAGCGTGCTAAGAAAGCATTCCTCAATTGATTCCAAGTGAAGATTGAGTTATAGGGGAGCTTAGTAAATTAGATAGCAGCCTCTCCGGTCAGTGCGAGAGGAAAAACTCCTAGCCAGATTACATCCATATTCAAATCGGGCTTCCCTACATAACTTTTGCACACTGATTTTACCTTAGCGATATGGGCATGTGGATCCTCAGAAGGTAGCCATGAAAATAAATCTTTGGTAGTGAACATTTGATCAGACTACTAGTTACCACAAAAGTGTGGTCGTGTGGTAGAGGGGGCAAGACGAGTGGCCCATCAGAGTCTGCGATATTTTGTTATCCCCTATAGTACTCTAGAGGGCGTGGAGCGGGAGGTTATCTCTGTATTTCACCTTTCCCACGAATATCAGGTATAACAGGGTCACGAGCGTCGACCAATAGTGGCATTTGCGGGTCGATCTCATCACCTTGAATGCTCAAATTCTGATTCATTCTTCTTAAAGTACGCTCTAGTTCGGGGTTAGGTTCAATTATGGGTATTCCTCTACTCCGTGTGTTTGGCATGTAAAGAAGTTTGACCTGCAGGAGACAAAAATAAAAAGAAAAAATAAAATTAGGAAAAGTTGACTAAACTTCGGTAATAAGCTTAAATTTAATCTAAAAGCCACTTTCCCCGACAGCGGCGCCAAAACTTGATACGCTCAAATTTACTTCTCGAAAAGAAGTCAAAGTGGCTGCATCAAGTAAAGAACTCAACTAGTGAGGTTGGGATCGTTCCCACAAGAAAAATGGTTCAGACATAACTTTATTCTATTATTACTTCTATTTAGTCAATTATTTTCCAAAAATAAATAACTAAATGTGTTTTGATTAATAAAAGCAATTAGCTAAATTAATGTAAACAAGTGACAGGTTCAAGTATTGGAGTTTAATCAAGTAATGAGAGTAACTAGGCGTAAGTGTTCCCCACGGGCTCCTAACTCAGTAATTCTAGCTATCACAATCCTTTCTTAGTACCTTGCATGCAAAGTGATAAGTTGGGTCTCTCTAAATCCTGGTTCGGCATCTAGATCTCACTCAGCACCTTGGTCCGGCTACGTGTGTTGCTTTACTAAATCTTATCTTAACCTCATATTAACCATCATATTCGATATTTAACTAAGTTGTTACTTCGTACCAACCGACACTAGCCTATTAGATAGTATACACTAAATCTATGTTGATAATTTTTTTCCTAATATCTACCTCCCTTGTCCGGCAAGTAGCAATAAGGCGAGTTCTAACATTGGTCATCCGTTAAAAAGACTTCTAAGCGAAAGAATTAACAATACATGCGAGATACTATTCTAGAATTGTTATTTTAGCTAGATTTTACCTTATTATTTACCCATGGTTCCCACAAGCCTAGTTATGGAGTTTAGTTATCCATGCTAATAATCACACAATTCATATTGATAATATAAGAGATCATGCTCCTACTTTTATGAGAAGGAAGAAAATCCAGAAATTCACTTGAATAATTCACAAAAATACCAACAATTGATTCCGGAAAAGTATGATCAAATACCAAAATTAAGAGTTCAATACTTAAACAAGAGAACTAAAAAATATCCAAAAGTCTAACCCCAAAAATGAGGTTTTTCAAACTATTTATAAAAAAAAATAAAACCTAATAAAAGAAGGACTCTATTTAAGGAAAATCTGTCCAAAATGCGTCTGAATCGACGATCCCTGCGACAGACTGTCATGGACACGATGGACCGTCGTGGGCTCCGTCATTGGCATAATTTTCTACTGCTTTCTTCATCAACTCTCTGTTACCCTCGACGGACAGATATGACGGACTGTTGCAAGCACGACGGTCCGTCGAGGGGTTCCGTTCCACAACACTTAGAAACTTCTTGAAATTGGATACTGGAACTACTCTCTAACAACCACGACGAATATGTAGGACGGACCGTCGTGGCTATGACGGTCCGGCATGAGCTTCCGTAGTCCCACACTTCGTCAGACTTCCCCAACTTCCTTTAGCAGCCATTTTCATCTCACACGGCGCCACCTACAGACCGTCACAGTCACAACGGACCATCGTGGGCTCCGTAGGTGGTCACTTCTGTAATTTCTGCTCAAATCCTCCGCGTTCTCCTTTGGACAGATTTCCTGCAAATAAAGAGAAACCTACATGAAAATCAATACAAACAGGCTTTAGACACACATTGAACTTAAGGAAAAGACATTGAAAATACCGTGAAATCACGGTACATCAATACTGGTCAACCATAGATCAAGTAGTGGACCTTAAAACCACCCCAACTTTGATGGGACCCTTTTATGGCCTGTAGGACTTCCTACGGTCCATAGGCCCTAATCGTAGAAAATAACTTTGACCTTAAAATTCCACTAAATTTGAGATCTACCTACAAGACCCATCTATGACTTGTAGATCATTTGACAGATCGTCTTGAACAACCGTAGATTGAGATACCGAAACTTAATTTTCTCAAAAACTCAACCCTCTTTCTACAAATGGCTTCTTTGGCCTGTAGAAACCAACCAGTAGCAAAAAGGTTCGCTTTTCCATTTTCTAAAATTCAAGGTGTTACACCAGTCTTTTGTGAAATACAATCTAAGCATGAAAACGCTATAAAAAAGGACAAAATGGTCATTCTCAATCAAAAGATAATTCACAATAAATAAGACAGTACATTTAATTTATGAAAGTCTAACTTTAATTAGAAGTTAATTAAATATGAAAAGACCTTATTGGATAAAAAATAAATTCTACCAAGAAGTAATTTTTTTTAATAATGATACAAAATTAGCAAATCCTAACATAATTCATTGCACGAGGTTTCTTCTTTTCCTTCGTTGAAACAATTACTATGAAACAGCCGGTTGGTACAATATTACTATTGCCATCTTTTTAAAAATCATTTTAAATTTCTTTTCGCTTAATCAAGAGTACAAAAAAACAAAATAAATATAAAGTTACATACATTTTTTCAAAAAAATTGAATAGTTAATCAATATAAAATATCAAATCTTGTGTATAGTAATACACAATAATACAGAGTATTTTTTTCATCCCTATATCCTATGCCAATCAAAATAAAATAAAATTTATATATATTTATCGAATACCAAATGAAAATATACATGTAAATTAGTGTTAAAATAGTAATCAAGATTAAAAAAAAAGGATATTTTTTTGGATAGAAAAACGAAGAAGAATAACAATTAAAATAGAGATTAATTATTTAAATGAGTAGCTTAGAAGAAATAAATATGAGACGTAGGGAACGGAGTTGCGTGTAATTTTTATTTACTTTTTTTTTGGGGGGGATGATGTATAGGTCCAGATTGAGATCCACGTAGTGGTTTAATGGTGATTTCGATATTGTATAACTTCCCTGGACCCATGACTTTAATTCTCAACTACCAATTTAAACCACGCATATTCCACCCCTTTGGTCTCATATCCTTTATCAATATAAACACAATTTCAGCTCACAAAAATGGCGTTTTCTTGAACAAATTTTCTGGTAAGCTCTGCTGTTTGCTCATCTTATGTACTATATAGTTGTGTCATGGCCAGAGGTGAAGTTAGGTGGAGATTCACGAATTCAAATATCTCAGTCACTTTTTCATAGATCTTATATTTATGTTAGAAATTAAAAATAAATATACTATATTAACATATACTATATTAACATGTAAATCCCAAATAAAAATTAATTTAAAACCCACAAATTCCTGACCTTGACTCAATCTCTGTATTCTTTTGGAGAAGAGCATCTTTATCTTCTTATTCCCAGTCTCTCTCATATTATTATGCTATTTCGAATCTTGAATAAAGCTTTTATACTTTTTCTTCTTTAAGTTGAAGAATATGTTCTAAAGGAAAAATATTTTGATTAGATTGAGATTTCTTGAAACCCCTTGCAGGTCATAGTAATACAATATTCTTCCCTAGATACTCTGTTTCTTTCAATAAATAGTGATACAAAAACACTTTGTTAAAAGTCTACTAGTACATAGTTTTGATAAACAAGTCCTGTTTTAAGTTGGAAAGTGCAACTACTTTCCTTTTATTGTGCAGAAAATGGGAAAAGAAAGTTCAATTTCAAGAATAGTATGATGTCTTGATCAATTTGAAAACATCAATCTACCAAACTTGGACACAAATACTTAATTATGATGCCCTTTTTAACAGAATCTTCAAATCATACTTGGTCACCAATTATGACAACAGATACAACAACTCTGAGTTATTGGCTGAACTGGAGATTCTTAATATGTTCAATATTGATATTAGCAGCTATGGTGGTATCACTTCTCCTTATATGGAAGTACGATTGTTCTTCAAAGTACCGAAAAGAAAATGGGCAAAAGAAAGCAACATTTCTGTGCAAAGATGATGTTTGGAAGACATGTTATAAAGCAATCCATCCTAACTGGCTGCTTGCTTATAGACTAATTGCTTTCTCCATACTTCTGTCTTTACTCACTGCAGATGTAGTTCTCCACGGCGTACGCATACTTTATTTCTATACTCAGTAAGGATATTGTCCATGTCCATATTTCATCTTGGCATTATTTTGTTTTGTCTACACTATATGGATGTTATCCAGGATTTGAACTTACTATAATGTCAATTATTTCCCTTTAAGACACAATATTTCAGAAACAGTAACTTCAAAATCTAAAGATAACACTGTCTAATAAATTTGTATTCTAACAAGCTATTTTCTTGATATAGTTATGATTGTCTTATCTTTTGTTTTTTGTTCTTTTTGTACTGAACAGGTGGACATTCACCTTGGTTACGGTCTACTTTTTGGTATGTTAGTGTATATGACCATCTTTAAATTTGTTCATGTATACACATTTTTTAGAAAGGAAAGGTGTGAAAAGATGGAATTAATACTCCCCTCCCCTGCAAGGCATAGCTAAAGAATTTGTCATTCACACTACCCATCATGTCTTTCCTTGTTCCTTTTAGTTTTGGATTATTGTATTTCTTATATAAGTTGGTAATGCTCTCAGCTAAATTTACTAGCTAGGATCTTCATTGTCCATCCGTGGCTGTCTCCAACCTTGCAACGGAGGTAGTGGTGCTAGCACTGGTGGTGTTGATACAGAGAGAGGCACTTACATTGCTCCAGTTCCTGAAAATTTAAGCGTACTTATTGAATCCAATGGCTTGAATTCCCATGGAGAGCCACATGATCATTGGGGACTTGCCTTGCAAATAATCTTTCAGGTATGTTTTCTTTGATCGCAAGTGTTACAACCAGTCATGTCGGTTTCTTTTTCTTTTCATTCCTTTTTGCTGTTGAAGGTAAAGGCACAGAGAGTTTATCTATTCCCATGTAGTATATAGAATATGTAAATCTTCTAAAATTTCTCACGTTTGTCACAAATGTTGATTATTTAGTTCTTTTCAGTCTAGTCAAACATGTTTAGGCCTTGTTTGTCATAGGAGAGGTATTCATACTGCGTTTTATGGATACTTGGCTAATTGTTCCTCCTCCCTCAAATAATTTGCAGATGACTGCAGGTGCCATTGTGCTTACAGATTGTGTTTTTTGGCTCGTTATATATCCGTTCCTTACTGACAAAAACTACAAATTGCACTTCGTAAGTATGAGAACTAGTTTTGCTTTTTTATCTTGATCTTCTTCCCCTTGTATAGGGTTTTTCAGTTGTATTATATACTATATCTGCCTCTACATAATCTGATAGCCTATGTGTTATTGCAGCTGGCTGTTTGTATGCATTCTGTCAATGCTATTTGCCTTCTAGGTGATGTGTTTCTAAATCGTCTAGTAAGTTTGAAGTTCCATACTGACAAAGATTTAAATGTTATCTATATCTAAGCGTAGTCAATATTCATTCTTACTTCCTGTTCAGCAGTTCCCTTTCTTCCGGTTAGCATATTTTGTACTTTGGACATGCGTATTTGTCATTTTCCAGTGGATCCTCCACATGTTTGTCTCGTTGAGGTATATTTTCATTTGATCATAGTGACTATTGTTCTTATGGGACACCTGATTCATCTAAGGCTTATGCATTTTACTAAAAAAACTGTTAACTTCTGTTGCAAACAGGTGGCCGTATCCCTTTCTAGACTTGTCATCTCAATATGCTCCCCTTTGGTATGTGTGCAACATCCTAAGAACTTTTTACGCAATGTGTTATGATTTTTATGCTTATTTATTCTCATGATGTCGAAATTGCAGGTACTTTGCTGTTGGTATTCTCCATCTGCCTTGCTATGGAATCTTTGCCATACTGATTAGAACAAAGACTTGTTGTTTATCCAGATTGTTTGTTTCATAGCCCCGATCGAGATGTAAGTCATGTTGGAGATGGTGAATGAGTTCAAACTCCATTAAGCAGCCCAGTATTACATGAAATTGTATTTTTATTTATTTTTAGTGGACTGAAATAAATCAGTAAGCTAAAAATATGAAATGTTATTTTATTTACTAGTAAGCTGGTGTCATTGTATTTACTTCCTTGTCTGTCTATTTTATTTTATTTTTAATTTCAGGGTTTTCATTGTGTATCCCATCAAGGTCTCTGTTTAGTTGTGTTATTTTGGTTAGCTTAGACCTAAAGGGCACAACACACTTGTTTTAATGGAAGGTCTGATGAGATATATAGAATAAATAATATAAGGATCAAAATTAGTGCAGCAAACAACTTGTTATTACAATCTTTGTTCCATAAAAACGCTATCCAGTTTTTCCTTATCCAAAACAAATTAAATTTGCTCCTCGTAAAAATCTTTTCCAAATTTCAATGTTCAAAACCTTTGATCTATCACTTAGGTAAGCGATAGTGAAAGTTGTAACTGAACTAAAATAAAATTCTATTAGATTAATAAGAAACAACACCGTAAAGATACAAGTAGTAAGAGCAAAACTCTACCACGTTGCTTTGAATTATTCTCTCGGTCATATCCATGGCTAGAGTAAATATCTTCTCTTTTTTAGCTAATTTTCATTGCTAACTGAGTTGCCACTCTTCTGGCATCTAGTTGGTTGTCTTGCTCCAACCAATATTAGAATTTTCTGGTCCTACATAAATTTGGAAAGAATAAATACGTAAAGGATGTTATATACACATCATTCAAGCAAACTAATACACACCACATACGTTAGAAAGCAATTTTTTTTCTTTTCATACTGCTGGCCTACATTTAGAGTACCTCTTGCTAATTATTTTTAAAAAAAATTAAGCTCTTGATTTTTCATAATCTATGTTTCGACCTAAAATTCTCACAAGTAAATAAGTACTGGCACTTGAAAAAATATCCGATACAGTAAGAGGAAAAAATGTAGCTGCCAAATATACTTAACTTTAGGTGGCATCCTTCATCATTTTGTTAAACAATGATCTTCTCTAGTATCCTGAATAAGAAAAAAATGATTTTGCCAATTAAAATATCTCACTCATTTTGATTTAACATTTATTAGCTCAACATATAGCATAGTTAATTGGGAAAAACTAGAAATGATAGAGAATGACTCGTGCAAATTAAAGTAGTATCCATTTCAATTACATAAGAGAAATGAAAGGAGCTTTAGTGGCAATAGAAATCAAAGAAACAAAACAAAAACCAAATAAAGAAAGCACAAAAAGGAGGAAGGAAGCATGCAGAAAATGAAATATTTCTTGTCATAAGTTCGAAGCAACACATCAAATGAACTGCATAACCAAATAATAGCCATGGTTTAAGCAAATTCCATGGAAAAGCCTATAGTGAGTAATTGCAGCAAACAGGAAAAAGAAGAATTTAGTTCAAGAGTAGCCCAATGTGAAAGAGTTTGCTACTAATCATTATAAAGATACAAATATATATGGTCCTTCTATGTCTGTTGTTGTGTGGACGCCATCTTCTTTTGAAGTTCAAGTTGATAAACTAAGAAGAAAAATCAGATGATGTGAGGGCAGAGAAACACCAATGAATGAGTGAAATTGAGCATGAGTTTTAAGCTCATGAATTGGAAAGGTTGGAAGTGATCTTGGCTAAAATTCAAGACATGGAAGGGACCAGCAGAGGTTATTTTTGCTAGAAAGCAGCTTGAGGATGGAAGGACTCTAGCAGATTACAATATTCAAAAGGAATCAACGTAACTCTCCATTTGGTGTTGCACCTAAGGGGTGGTATATATGCAGATCTTTGTTAAGATATTGACCGGGAAGACAATGCACACCCTGGAGGTAGAAAGTTAATATACCATTGATAATGTGAAAGCAAAGATCCAAGACAAGGAGGGTATCCTACCAGACATATGATAAATACGTAATTGGGTAAGTGATGAAAGTGTGTACAACCACCCACGAGCCATGAGTATAAAAATTATAGAGACAGACCTGTAATACCGAACGTTCAACCAAAATAATCAAAGCAGGCCCAACCTAAATGTCCGGAAAGTGATATATTGCTATCTTGTTCATGTTCTCGACTCCTATATGATAAATAATTTCACTTCATAGATGATAAATATTTGTGATTTTGAAGAGAACATATATGTTGCTTAGCCAAAAAAAAAAGTTGAATTTTACTGAATCATATAGAGATTGTTCAGAAGTATGTGGAACCAACCAGTAAGATGTTTATTTCGTCCAGTGAACTACATCTCCTTTCTTCTACATGCCTTGTTACTGGCTCCACCAAAATCACAATGTCTCCCACCATTAACTGTTGAACACGGACCTAGTCAGATCTGTTACATGAGTTTTGACATGTGAATAATGAAGTATTTTCTTACAATTTGAAGCTCAAGTTCAGGTATATTTTGAGACATCGAAAAGACATCAGTAGGTCTATCCTCATCTCTCCAATCCTTGTTTAGTTTGTGGATGAACTCTTCGCTGCAAAGTAATACTGATAAATTCAACACTTCCAAAGCAATCAATGCTTTAATTGTTCTATTCCTCATTTGATGGTCTGAATCTTTCAAATTATGCAATGCAAATTTCATAGCAATTAGGGCACAAAGATGAAACATTTCAGCAATATCCTGCAGTAACAGAATAAAAAATTATTAAAACCAAACGAAAGGAATTTACAAATTAGGGTTGTTACAAAGTCGATGTTGATGTTTTTGATACTGAAGATCTTGCAAAATCAATAGCTACTATCAGCTAAGGACTTATTTCTTGGTCATATCTCTTCAATGGCTCGTGAAACTCATTTTGACCATATTCACATTGCATTGTGTTATCTATGAGCCTGTTTGGCTCACTATGAGCTTGTTTGGCTCATTTTAAAAACTGGTCAAACTAAATTAAAAATTGGTTTTTGATTTATTTAACTGTTCGACAATATTCAAAATAACTTATTTTTAGTTAAAAAAAACTTATTTTAAGTCAAAAGTTAAAAGCTGGGGTAGGGGTGTGTTTTTTTTTTTGCTTATAAGTTGTTTTAAATTGACCACATTTTTATCTTTTTGCCCTTAATATTTTTATACAATTTCCAAAATACTCACATAATCCTAACATTACTTTCTTCCATTTTTCCCTTTTCACGTTTGACATAGCAACTTCAACACTTTTATCCAAACGCATAACTGCTTATTTTAAAAATAAATTTCATCACTTTCAAAAGTATTTTTTTAAAGCTGCTTTCATTAAGCCCATCCAAACGGGCCCTATATCTTGTTTTTTCTACTCTTAAAAGTCTAGTTTGAAATAAAATTATGACAATTTTATAATTCAATCACCAAAGCTTACTTAGACATTATTTGTTTCCATTAAGATTATGACGTATGAATCTCAATACACATTTAAATATTAAGATATGCACTAACATCTAGATAGATAAATTTGAATAAATCTGAATAAACGTCTGAATATTAAGATGTTGTCTTTGAATCTTCAATCTAAACACTAGATTAACGCGACTCTTTGTTTTCAATAATATCTGAATGTGCATATGAAATTAAACATTGTATCAATAAAATGTTATGAAATACTCATTTAAGTAAAATAGTTTTTTTTATAGAAAATAATATTTTGAACATTTTTATCGTAATAGGGTAATATATTTTATCTATTAAAAATTTAACATTAAGTTACATCATTAATATGACTATTTTTTACACTCAAAAACTTCGAGAATGTTGTAGACAATAAAATTCGCATCAAGAAAACAATATTCAAGAAAGGAAAGTTACATCAACAATCAATTTTATTATTTCAAATGCAATTGTTACAATCTCTATAATTCCTCTGAATTCGCCTTTTCAAATATAAATTCAAGGGCTTTAAAGCTTGTTCTTGAATCTATGATGAACTTGAACTTGAACTTTATCTTGGTCTTGACTTTTATTTGAATTCAAGGGCTTCGAACTTGTTCTTGAATTCGGTGGTCTTGATCTTGATCATTCTTGAACTTGAATGCTTGAATTATTAAACTTGTAGCTTTGTAGAGAATTAAATGGTGTTTGTACCACGGAATTTCTCTAGCTTCTTGTTTAGAATTTTCTGTCTCTTCTCTAAATTATGAGTACCTCTATTTATAGTTTTAGAATAGAGGAGTTGCAATTGGAATAGGATTCCGTCCAGCCAATCAGATTTAAGTGACATGACTTTGGGCTTTATGGAGCGGGCTTGTCATCTTTGACCCATGTCATGATTCTATTGATTTTCTTGTTTGACTTGGCATGCCACATCATTTGCACACGTGGCGCCAAGATGGGCTCTAGAATGAGATGTGATTGGGTTTAACAAATTGGGTTCATCCAATGTAGCAAAAAATAATTAATTAGACTTTAATTAAATTCGTATTTATTGGACTTAAATATTTAAGTCAATTATATCAATCCATAATATTTATTTGGATTAATATATTTATGAATTCAATATAATCCAAATCATTTTATAAATTTATATTTAATAAATTTTAAATGATTACAAATGCCCCCTGCTTCAAGTCTTGTCGAGATAGTTTATCTTTTAGAGACTAGGCTTGAAGCATTAACCCCTTACTAAATTCACCTTAGTTAAAAATGAATTATAATTGAATTTACAATTGTAATCCTACTTAATTTCATATTCCTATATATGGTTTATTGCCCAAACAAAAAAGAAATTATATTCAATTAGGAATTGTAATACTACTCAAGTTCATATTCATATATATGTTTTATTGCCCAAGCCAAAAAGAAATTGTAATTGAACTAGGAATTGTAATCCTACTCAATTTCATATTCATATTATGTTTTATTGCCCAAGCCAAAAAGAAGTTGTAATTGAACTAGGAATTGTAATCCTACTCAATTTCATATTCATATATATGTTTTATTGCCCAAGCCAAAAAGAAATTGTAATTGAACTGGGAGAAGGATTTTATCCCACCACATGACATCTATAAATAGATACATTGTCTCCATAATTTTATCTTCAATTACAGATTGTGAGCCTACGACGAAAAGGGCATACTCAAGGTAATTTTTCTCTTTTTTTTAATTTATTTTCGTCACTTTTTTTACAGCTTGACATGTCTGTCATAGAAAATTCATATCTCATTGTAGAAAAATCAAAATCATGAACCGTTTGATTTTTCAGAAACAAGACTTTTAGATATCTTACGTACCCTAAATTCAAAATTTAATACCTTAAGAATCTTTCTATATGATTTTTTAAAGTTAGATTCTGTCATGCTAAAAATTCGTCACTTTTTTTACAGCCTGACATGTTCGTCGTAGAAAATTCATATCTCATTGTAGAAAAATCAAAATCATGAACCGTTTGATTTTTCAGAAAGACTTTTCAATCTCTAACATATCCAAAATTCAAAATTTAATACCTTCAGAATCTTTGTAGATGAATTTTTGAAGTTAGCTCTAGATTCTGTCATGCTAAAAATTCTTACTTTTTTTTACAGCCTGACATGTTCGTCGTAGAAAATTCATATCTCATTGTATAAAAATCAAAATCATGAACCGTTTAATTCTTTAAAAATTAGGCTTTTCGATCTCTAACAGATCCAATATTCAAAATTTAATACCTTTAGAATCTTTCTATACGATTTTTTGAAGTTAACTCTAGATTCTGCCATGCTAAAAATTTTCAGATTTGTGTGACTTAATAAAAATTTCGTGTCTTGACGTAAGAACAACGAAATCACAATCCGCTTGATGATTATGAATCTAGACATAAAGGTCTACAACACATCCAAGATTCATGATTTAATACCTTTCGGGTCTCAAACATCTTGACGGGTAACAATCTCTCCTTCACTTGTATTTTCCTCCTTCTTCTTTTTTTTTTGTAGATCAACAAAAGAAATTTTATATTTTACGGAGGCTACATATTGGAAGGATTTATCACATGAAAATGCGTTTAATGTCCATGTCTTAACAAATAAATAAATAATACTCTCAAGGTGTTCCAAGCCCCGAATGCTTAAAAAATTTAAAACTTTACTAGAAACTCATGTAACGCTCCCGCCTTGAAAACAAACTCAAGGTGTTACAAGATCTCGAATGCTTATCCAATTTGAAGCTTTACTAGAATACCGCGTAACGCTTCTGCCTTGAAAACAAACTCAAGGTGTTACAAGGTTTCGAATGCTTAACCAACTTGAAGCTTTACTGGAATACTGTGTAACGCTCCCCCTTTGAAATAAACTCTAGGTATTACAAGGTTCCGAATGTTTAACCAACTTGAAGCTCTAATAGGATACCGTGTAACGCTCCTGCCTTGAAGATAAACTCAAGGTGTTACAAAGTCCTGAATGCTTAACCATCTTGAAGCTTTAATAGAATACCGTGTAACGCCCCCCCCCCCTTGAAAATAAACTCAAGGTTTTACAAGGTTCCGAATGTTTAACCAACTTGAAGCTTTAATAGGATATCGTGTAACGTTCCCACCTTGAAGATAAACTCAAGGTATTACAAGGTCTTGAATGCTTAACCATCTTGAAGCTTTAATAGAATATCGTGTAACGCTCCCGCCTTGAAAATAAACTCAAAGTGTTACAAGGTCCCGAATGCTTGACTAACTTGAAGTTTTAATAAAATACCGTGTAACGCTCCACCCTTGAAAATAAACTCAAGGTGTTATAAGGTTCTGAATGTTTAACCAACTTGAAGCTTTAATAGGGTACCGTGTAACGCTCCCGCCTTGATGATAAACTCAAGGTGTTACAAGGTCTTGAATGCTTAACCATCTTGAAGCTTTAATAGAAAACCGTGTAACGCTCCCGCCTTGAAAATAAACTCAAGGTGTTACAAGGTCCCAAATGCTTGACCAACTTGAAGCTTTAATAGGATACCGTGTACCGCTCCCGCCTTGAAAATAAACTCAAGGTTTTACAAGGTCCTGAATGCTTAACCAACTTGAGACAGGATAAACCCGTGAAAAGACCAGGTTAAGGTGCAAAGGGACAAATATTGTCCACCTTAAGGCATGGAAATTTAAAGAACCTTGTAAAGATAAATCCGTCGGAACTCTAGCTTAAGGTGCAAAGGGACAAGTTTGTCCACCTTAAGACATAGAAATTTAAAGATTCATTGAAAAGATAAATTCGCAACAAAGCTAGATTAAGGTGCAAAGGGACAAATATCGTCTGCCTTAAGGCATAAAAAATTGAAAGATCCTTTTAAATACACACCAGTGAAAGGTCAACTTAAGATGCAAAGGGACAAATATTGTCCACCTTAAAACATAAAAATTTAAAAAGGTTCTTTTAAATATACATCTATGAAAAGTCCTAGCTTAAGGTGCAAAGGGACAAGTTTGTCCACCTTAAAACATAGAAATTCAAAGATCTATTGAGGAATAATCCGCAACAAAGCTAGCTTAAGGTGCAAAGGGACAAACCTCGCGCACCTTTAGGCATGTAATTCAATTACATACGCATTTGGAGATTTCTACTTACATACTTGAAGCCTTACCTTCTACTTAGAGTATTTGAATACTTCAACCTGTATACTTAGAGAATTTGGATACTTCAAATAATAAACTCGAAGAATATAAATACTTCAATTTGCATACTTGATCTAATTTAAAGACTTCAACCGTACTAATAAGAGATTCATATTTTATAAGGGTTTGCCCCTTCTATAGACCCATCAATACTTCGTACAAGTCTAAAGTTTGATGAGACAAAAGATAAAATACATATCGCTTTGACTTCTCTTTGAATTTAAGTGGGAACATTTTTATTTTTGACACTCATGCAACTGAACTTCAAAGGCAAAAGAAAAACACAGTCTCATG